GCATTCTGTTTCATTATGAACTACTGCGCTTTTTTACAATCTTCTCAAATTTTATCCCTTGCGAGTAGATTGCTCGCGATCTAAAAGCCTCGATCAAGGCTTCATCTTTGCGCGCATTTTGCTCGCAATCTATCAGCCCTTTCTATCTATTGTATAACTAAATAAACAAACAAATAATGAAATAAAAATAAATAATAATAAAAAAAAACGTAAAACTTTTAAGCCCCAATCTCAAGTCACGGAAACCTGTGACACTATCAAATTATTAGCCCGTAAATATTATTAGTTATGATTTTCAAAATATGTATTTACAAAATTTTCTATCAAATTATTTAAACAGAGGTATATCAGATGCCTATATTACTTATATTTTATCATTTAACTAGTGTATTGTAACCATCGTAAGGGAGAGCTTGGTATTATCATGCCGAGTTTAACTCCGATGGTTGACGTTAAAAGGGTCACATGAATTGGGTAATAAAATATGGTATTCGGGTACTCGTGATTTATTAGGCATTTATAAAAAAAGTGTGAATACATGTAACCTTTATTTATTGAGGAATTTGGGAGAGCGAATGTTATCCTCAACTAAGGGTGAAGAGAAGACGCACTCTTACATACATTTTAATTTTACAGATTGTCATCATAGAGATCTCCGCGCAATGATTACAATTTAATGCAATTGTTATGCGCTCTGTTTTGAATGTAAACGCTCTAATTTGAGCGTAAACGCTCTTGCATAATAATGCCTAATACTACTAAGGTAAGATTAACATGACTACGAATAGTACAATTATGGAAGGTAAGTGACAACTTAAAGAATTAGACAAATACGGAAGTGATGAGACAGGAAAAATTAATCGTTACAGTATGCCCATAATACATGACGATTTTTCTATGATAATGATTCTATCCTATTATTCTGTTTTTACCCTCTTCGTTAATTCTTGCGATTTGTAAATCTCTGTGAACGAGTTCCTGACGACTCAAGATCCAAAGCTATACAGTGCAAGATGTTCAATTTACCAGTCTGGCTATTAAACACCCACTTGATTGCCCAAACAAGTCCTCGATAGGCTATACCAAGGGTTAACATAGCCAATTGATAAAGTATTATTTAGGGAAAGAGCATGGGCCAGCTCTTTCCCTCCAAGGTCTGTTCTCAGAAGTTAGAGTGGAGTTTTTGCGAAGGGACTTGGTCGTCCTCTAGATCCAATTTTATTTGAGCTGCGGTATACATTTTGTCTTCAAGCAATCTTGCCGTATCGTAGGTCCGTATCTGTACCCGTATCTTTGCTTGGTGATTTTTAATAACTAGGTATGATAAATTATATCACCAGAGTCCGCCTCCACCATTTTATTAGTTTTCCCGTGCTTAATTGCGTTAATTGCGTTCCATAATTATAATTATTAAAATTCGAAAGTGTACTCCAAAGACTTCTAAAGATTATTGTGAGTCCTGTAGCCAACAGCCACCATTTGTAAAAAATTATCGGGTATTGGAGGTGTATCTCGGCAATGTTGACTAAAGATATTAAATAAATTAAACGGATTAATCATTATTTTAATACAAGCAAACCGAAATAATTTTTGTGGAAAGGTGCTATACTCACTGGAACCCTCCAATGTTCCATAATCATAATAATAATCAAAGTGTACTCCAAAGACTTCTAAAGATCATTGTGAGTCCTGTAGCCTAAAATTTGGTCACCAAATCCGAGTATTTTGTCCCCCAAAGTAAGTCTTAGTTACCAATTTACATATTAATAAATCGATACCAAACCTTGAAAAGTTTTTTTGGACTTTTGATATAGACTGATAACGCGTCTAACCCATCTTCCCCACCCTTATTAGACATATAAATTTATTATTGCGACGCACCTTAGCCTGGAAAAAATTTCTTATCTCAGCCAAAATCTATATTTATAACTTAGTAATGAAAATTATGGAGGTATCTAAAAGAGCCCTCCGTAATTTAGCCCAGGCTTGATTGCAGAGATAGAAGAACTCTTTTCGAGTTCTTCTTCGGGTGATTTGGTTCTGTTTCTTCAATCACCGCCTTATTTTATACAAGCACGTTGCTTTTGTTCGACATTTTAGAAAATTGAGGAGTAAAGTTACTGCATATCCGGAGTTCTTTATGTGCCAGGTGATGGCCAAGCATAGCAAAATCACGAGACTCAACATTAAATCACTGAAACGATAAGAAAAAATAAGTATAATTTAAATTAATATATAGAATTTAATTGTTCATGCAAAATGATAGTTATGAAATAGTTGCAAAATAACTTTGAAATGACTATTTTCAACATATTATGATCCCTTTATTGATTTTTCTTTTCTACGAGAGGAATAGTTTGAGAATCATGGTTTTTCTTTACTTTATTAAAAATAGTGCGTGACTTTTTAGCTCGATTAGACCCACTCAACTTACACCGTTTGACAAATTCAACTTGAATGCGGATCGTAGAACCACTTTTAATACGTTACATACAAGGAGGAAGTCAATGGTGAAATTGGGAATTGCTTTTGCGACTTGACCTAACAAAATAATAAATAAATAAATAACTAAGAAGAGCAGATAATTGTAAGAAATCATGAATTAATCAGAAATATATTGATATTTGTATGTATCATAATTAAAAAAAGAATTCAAGTGTAGAAAAAAATTTTTTGTCACCAACACCCATTTTGGTCGTTATGCTCAAAAATATTGTTATGTTGTTAACATTGACGATACTGTATTATAAATAAATTATAAATTATATACATAGTATGGAAATGTTAATTATAGTGCTGTAATAAAAAAATTATATTGATTTTATACTTACCTACGTAATTAAGCACTCGCATTCTGCATTGATTGATTACAATTAATTTTGATATTAAAACATTCTTAAAAATCAATACAATCGTGATTTTTAAGATCGCATTTGCCACCCTTAGCTAGAATTCAAATTTCCAGTGTTGTTAAAAAATCTTGCAGTAATAGCTTATTAGCATGTTTTCTTATATTAAAGTGATCGAATGTATAATTTTGTTTTATAACTGAATTAATTATAGATAGCACACATAAAATTTGAGTCAACGTTCATATAGTGCACATAAGTTAAAGAGTTAAAGATTGAATTAAGTAGTAAACATTTAAATATTTTTAACCCCCACAATGCTACGTATTATAATAAAATAAAAGTTCGCACTACTCTTAGTTTATTAAATTTTTTTAAAAGCAATTTAATTATAATTAAAATTTCAATGCATAAAATTAATACAGATATAAATTCGAACTTCTATATAACATTTGCACTAACGAAAAAAAATTCTTAAGCAGAATACACTTTGGGAGTATAATAATAATATTGTAAATAAAAAAAAAGTACAGTATGATAATTTTGAGTTCACAATGTTAACAAATAAAAAAAAGATCACATACTTTTCTATAGTGTACTCCCCGGGATTAATTATTTTATTTTTGTCGTCGCTTTTTCCGAGGATCAGGCATTTGAATCATGAATCACTTTAAGTGCAACACCCCACCATATTCCGTTAATTCTATCGTACCAAGTTGCACGATATACAGTTGTGGCAATCATAGACTGGTAGTCTATGTGGCATGACTCTCCACAGTGTCTTCGAACGCTTTCTTTTCATTTTATCGGGTTCGCGCAGTTTTTTTGATTTTTTTTGGGATTCGTAGGATTGATTCGGGCGATATATCATTTTTGCTATTTCGAATGATGATACGAAAAAGAATTAGTAATTAAAACGAATATAAAGTTAATGAAGATATATATAAAAAGTAAAAGAATTCGGTACTTTTAGAGTGACCTTTCCACTTAATGAATAAATGTCATATAGGTGAAACGGGGAACAGCTACTTGAATCCAGCCCAGATTCGTAGCGAAAACACAGCGTCGCAAGACCACTTTTACAGACTTACAGTTGAGCGACACTTTTGTTGCACAACGCGGCACTTGAAAGAATGTTCTCTCTATTGGTGAGAAAGAGATGTTGAAGATTTGTAGAGACGTTTTGGCTTACTAATCCCTTTTACTGTATTTATACTACGTACGACTTTATCAAACTAAAATTAATATTTTTTATGCATGATTACGCACAAACTATAAATCTTCCCAAGTTGTGATTGGACGTATGAAATCCAGAGCACAGCCGCAAAATCAAAAACATCGATAAAAAAAATAATAATAAAATAATAATAATATATAATAATGAATTATTATATTAACTGCCCGATACAAAAGTATCGGAGCAGCATTTTGTCTCGAATCGATCAAGGGTGAGGCATTGTTGAGATTTATCGTATCGTATGTAGTTTGTTATGATTCGATTGATGTATTGTCGTAATGACGTAGTTTGCGATTAGTAATCGTTTTTAGGTTTGTTTTTTCTGCTAACCTGACTTTTTCTAGTTTTTTCGCCCCAGCCCAACCCTATATAGTCTTGGTGATGCGACCCAAACCTAGTGGTTTCGGCACTTGCCGTATCCCAAACTGGCAAAACTAGTTTGGGACTTATACCGTAATGTCACAAACTAATCTATGTTTGGGATTTCGGCATAAATCACATAATGCCGTAATACTGCCGTAATGCCGTTATTTGCCGTAAATAGTTTGGGTCGCATCACTACTCATGAGCGTTATTTAGAATAATTTGGGTCAAAAATTGAAATTACGCCCCTGCGCGTTATTTCGTATATATTCTTATATTTGAAATGCTTATTAAGTACCCCTGCTATAGTACTCTCCCTCGTAATTAATACCCGGGAGGATACTATTCAATAAATTTTATGGTTTATTGAATAGCATCCCGGATACGGTAACCATTATGGCTTAATCATAGTACCTTGTATTAAAAACAATACTTCAACCATTATTGTAAGTGTACATAAGAGTAAAACTCGGTTTTAAAATATAAAATTTTCCGGATCTCGTTATTAAATCAAGCCTTGATCGTAGTCTGTGTGAAAAACATATAGACACCTACCTAGTTAACACACGCAGAATATCTAATACCAGATCGTCCAACGTTTGCTCATGTTTTTCACGCAGTTCATCCAACCGATCCAAAACAATTAATTTTATATTGTTGTCAGACTCCTTAATAATTAGTTCGATGTAACAGGAAGCGGCAGCTATAAATTATTGATTAGAATGTTAATTTAATTTTTGATAGGTCGCGATCTTAAAAGCATACCTTTAACAGCTGCAGGAGCATGAGTAAGAGCCATTAGTGAAGTGGCGGCTTCGTACTTAACAGAATGAGACGCAGCGTTCAGTAGTTCAAAGATACACCTAATATATTTTCCCTAATAAAATCCAGTATCTCATAAATCTCAATAATCTTTGCAGAACAATACTCAATATAATTAATACAAAATAACAATAAATACTCTATTAGTATTGTTATTTCTACAATCCTTCCTGATTAATTCGATTATTGACAACTGCAATAATTCATCAAAATTTGGTACTTGATCGAAAACATCGTTAAGATATTCAACAGCACGCAACTGGTTTGTATTACAAAGCATAACAAAAGCGTTTCGTTTGCAGGTTTGATCGGCTTCCTTTAGAGTAATATAAATATGAAAAAAAAATCTCTATTCACGTAATTTGAAATACAAGACTAGATTGATTCTTACTGCAGCTAAAAAACTCTGAATTAACTCCGGGGCATCAGGAATTAGATACTCAAAATGTTTATATATGGTGTAAATGGCAAAGACGGCGTTTTTTCGGACATAAGAATGTCGATGCTCCTGAAAATATTTAAGAGAATCTGATCAGTATAAATTTCAAAAAAGAAACGTTAATCGACCGAAATACCTACCAAACAAGAACGGCATGATGGTAGCAACGGTTCCAATAATTCTGGTTCACGTAGCTTACAGAGGAAACGAAGTGTTGCACCCCTTATATACTCATTTGGATGTTGAAGATCGTTTCTCAACGCGTTACTAAACAATTATAATAAGGTTCAGAACATACGTAGAAATTTTTTTTTTCATTTGCCAAAATATTGGTAATCACATGACCAATGCAATGGATTTCGATATTTTCAAATGATTAAATGTGAAAGGTTAAAGCATATTTTTGAAATTGATAAATAAGTACCAACCAAACCAGAATCATTTCTTGTTTAAGCTTCCCATCGGGATTCGTTTTTGGACAAATTTCCCAGTAAAAATGAAGTAATTTTTTCAAGGTCTTATTTTTTGAAGGCATCACAAAACGAATTACATGCATAAGAATTTGTGGAAGTGGATCTCCATTAAGCATAGTAACCAAAATTTTTTTCATAGTATCAATTTTAGCTTCTTCTGAACCTTTCTCCAATGCCGTCTTAAGCTCTTGAAGTGAGGGTTGATCCAAGCTATCATCTTGATGAATGATTGTATAACAAGTTTCGGTAGCCATCTAACAACGCAATCTTCGTAGTGTTTTTGAAAGAATTGAAAGATTTTAGATCACCGACGTTTTCTTTATTTGATTGGATAATAAAATTAGCTGATTAACAAATCGGTTTTGCGGTTACAAAATTCCCGAATTTAAATAAGCCGATAAATTCGGTTTCATGGTTGTAATACTTTTTTAGGGGTGTTAAAAAGTCCGTCTGGTCCAGTAGTCCTGAACTAGTTAGAAACTAGTTCATAACCCCGGTCCAACTCTAGTGGTTTTAATATACAATGCATATAATTTTTTATAATTTTGAAATTTTGTATTATTATTATGCAAAAAAAAAATCAGAATACCTAACCCAATCAAATTATACTTCTTTAAATTAAGGCAATTAAAAGTATTGTTCTTGATTTAAGTTTTATTAAATTTCATTCGAAGTGTCAAAATGGCATTCAATTCATTATCTGGACTAGTTTCGGACTGGATGGCCCCTAAAAAGTCCAGTCCAGAACCGGTCCGGACCTGGTCCCCCGTGGACCACTTAACATCCCTATACTTTTTTATCAATTATATATCTGATATTATTGTTATCGGGATTTAATCTATCTGATTTGTTAGAAATTTTGTCTGGTACCCAAAATATATTTTCCCTTTGGCACCCATGGCTAAATTTCCTAATTAAGAGGTTGTCTTCTACACTTGAAAAAAAATTAAAATTTCCGACAAAGCATTATATAGAATTATATAATATGTATAAAAAACAAGGGTTTCACTATAAAGAGCTTGATTTATAAGGGTTTACCACAAAATCCCGGAAGACAGATTCCCGAAAGGACCTAATACCGACAAAGTTAGCCGGCATTAGTTATAATGTTGGCCAATTTAGTCAGTATTATGTTCTTTCAGGAAAATGGTTTTCGGGATTTTGTGGTAGAACCGGTTATAAATATCAAGATAGGTGTAACTTATGTCAGAATAAATCCTTGTAGATTTAGAATCAGCATAAATTGATTCTAAGTACATACGTATAATATGAAACAGAGTTTTAAATTCTCGCATAATAGTTAAGTAATGTTCCACCCAAGTAGGAATTACCCGGTCACATGTGGGCAGGGACCTGAAAAAATTTAAAAAATTAGCTCACAATTAATCACAATTTTTATTGGATTTCACATTTTAAAACAAATTTTACACTTTCTAGGATGTAAGTTATGTGTTAAGTAACCAATTATTCGTTTTACAATTGACAAAGAATGGTAAAATCTCAAAAATACTAAAATATTTCAAGCACACACTAGTCGAAAACTAAAAATTCAACCAAGTCGAATTTAGCATGATGGACATTTGTTTTAATTGGTTAAAAATATGTAAACAAATAAACAATATTTATAATGTAGATCACTATGTAAATTTAGGGGATGGCTAAAGCCAGGTGCATTTATATGGTTTTGATTATTTAATTAAAATTAGGGTAAGGGTTAGTTAGAGGTTAGGGTTGGAGAAGTTTTTATAGGTAAAATTGTCCTCCTGACATTTTTTATTAATGCTTCAAGACAGGTTTAGACACTCGTTTCTTGTATTTTCAATGTTTTTCACTTTTTTTTTTTGTTTTTGTCTTATCGGGCTGATCCGAGTTGATCAAATTTTATATTTTGATTGGCTGTTAGTCACGTGAACGCACCTGGCTTTAGACGGTCCCTAAATTTAGATATTTAAATATTTTTATATAATAAAAAAATAAATTTAATTGTATACATATAATAATATTTATTATTTCAAATATTTGTTTAATAAATTTATATACAGTATTTATAACATCTTGGTAGAACTTGCTAATCAACAATTTCTTCAACAATCTACATCTAGCCTACACTAAACTAGAAGTCAGGCCAATTCTAATCTAAATCGGTCAACTTTGTCTGCAAAACAGTTTCTTTTTTCTCTTTAGGCACATATTATATATAGAGTTGGTAAAGTTCTTAGGTTTAGAACTTTAGAACCTGGTCTTTAAACTTGGTTTTTAAGGACCTAGGGTCCTTAGGTTTTTAAAGTCCTAATATACAAAATTATAATTGCATAACCCTAGACAGCATAATCAGTATAATTTCAATAAAGTTTTAAATATATAATTTAAAATTATAATCATTTATTTTTTTTTATTTTTTTTTTTTATTAATATAATATTATAGTAGAAACTTTATTATAGTCAGTCTGAAGACTGAAAGTTATCTTATAGTCTACAAATCTAGGTAAGGAGACATATAAGCTATTTATTTATAATTTGGCTACCAAAACCCTTTAACTTGAACTAGCAGATTTTAAGAAGGTTGATTAGAAAAAGAATTTCTATGGTTAAAAATTTCTAATTACACTTGTGATACCGAACACCCAATATAATATTACACCTCCTATTTCCTATTTTAGTGCTATTATTAGTTTAAATGAATAAAATAAATCTAGCTAGAATAGGTTAGAGAAAACCCTAAGATGTATATCATGACATTACATAAGGCATGTTGTTAAAAAAAAACCTTGTAAGTACTATTTTTCAATGGAAGAGCATGAATTTGGTAGTTGAGTAGTAGATGTTTCTGTACTTGATTGATTGGTAATAAGTGGCAGAAAAAATTTGATATGTTTAGTTTTATTAGTAATATTTTGGGCCAATTCCCATTGGTGTTGATGTATATTTCATTAAGACCATATTTTGTAATAAAACTATCTAAAAAGATTGTTTGAAAGACTGATCGCAAATGATTCAGTTTGTTTTTTTAGTAGAGTTTTAAAAGTATGATAAATCAGTTTTAAGTAAATACCAAGAATAGTAGGGAGTAAAAAATTATATTGAAGATTTATAGAATCAAATGTAGCTTGTGAAAGAGTATTAAGAATTGTAATTGATAGAGTAGAAGTAATTTTGAGCTGATTTAATGAGTTTGAGGTTATATTAAAGAAGTAATTATCGAATATTTTTGTTATTTTTTGAACATAGAAGTATGTGAAGAGTGTTTTTTATTGCGGAACATTTACAACAGCCATCTGTTGTATAAAGATTAGGGTATCGGATTTTAAGATTTTGCATAGTAGGTAGATTATTTGTAAGGACTTTAATATAAAAGGAGTATTTTGAAGAGCAATACTCAAAAGAGTTAAGAATTTTGAAGGTAAGATTCCAATTTATGTTAGATGTATAATTATTAAAGAATTTGAGAGAGGTCCATGAGAGAAGCTCTTGAATTGTGATGGTGTTTTTGATGAATGAATGAATTTTAAATATTATTGTATAGTTATACCAAATAAAGTGAATAGGAAAATTAAAGTGTGAAAAGAGGATTTTTATAATTGGTTTAGTTGTGTCGCATTTAGCTAAAGGGTCAGCTTAGTTGTGGAGGGAGTTATTTGAATATGATTTAACTTTAATAAGATTAATCGAAATAAGTCTTTTATTAAAACACCCAAACTATTCTATAGAAAAATTCTCAAAAATTCAATAATATTAATATCGATCATCTCCTTAAATCCTAAACAAAATTCACCATTATTTTACCGATTACTTTTCTGAAAAACCTCTACATCCGATACCCTTAGAATTTCAACAACTATATCAACCACATCCTGAACTTGAAATACACTATCATGATTTATTCAAAACTATCTCAGACCAAGAATGGACTGAAACAATCTCCAATCTTCCCAACCAAAAAGCAGCTAGTCCTTTTGAAATTTGCTATGAACATATTAAACATGCTAGCACCTCATTACAAGAGACTTTTAAAGCATTTATTAATAAATACTTTCAACTTAAAAAAACACCATCAGAATGGAAATCCTCTAATATTTTCTTAATTCCTAAAAAATCTATTTGGAATTTCACACTAAATCAAGTTCACTCTATCTCTATTATTGAACTCTTTAAAAAAATCTTTACCAAAATCTTTACTAGCTAGCTTGACAAAATAATCTCTTCAAATAATCTGCTCTCAGATCTCAACTTTGCAGCATCAAAAAACCACTCAACACATACCCCAATTCAAATTTTTCACAATACAATTGAACACTATATTTCACATAACAAAGAAGCATAGATATTGTTTCAGGACATGTTCAAAGCATTTGATAAGATCAATATTAATCGCCTGCAAGATGCCTGTTGCAAGATCAGAATCCCAACTGATGGCATAAATCTAATTACTGAACTATACACTTCTCGTTTAGCTAGAGTAATCACTGCACATGGTCTTACATTACCAATTCATATTGAATCTGGCATAGAACAAGAAGAAACCTACTCTCCTCTACTATAGAAGATCTATTATGACCCTATTCTTATCTATATTTCTTAAAAATACAATAACTCCTTCCTTTAAATATCTATGCTCTCGCCACTTGATATTATTTCTAATTCAAATCCTACCTCTATCACTATTCCACTATTAGCCTATATGGATGATACCATTTGGCACTGTGAATGCTCTAAAGATCTACAAAATATTCTCAATGATACCTCTTCTTTATACAAAATCAATAACATAGAAGTTAACCCAACAAAATCAGATCTGCTTCATATATCCCTCAAAACTCCAAAACAATAAATCATACTCTTACATTTAATAATCAAACAATTTCTTCCACAAAACCTACAGACATAATTAGATATCTAGGTATCTACTATGATGGCTCTGGTTCATCCAAACCAACCCTTGATACAATATATAACAAAATAGAAAACT